CAAGAGTCTTACTCTATCAGTCTGGAATACAGTGGCACAATCTTAGCTCACTATAACCTGGGTTCAAGCTCCCTCCTGGGTTCAAGCGATTCTCTTGCCTCAGCCTCCCAAGTAGCTGGGATTACAAGTGTATGCCACCATGCCCAGGTAATTTGCTATTGCTTGGAAACAGAGTCTCAATCTATCACCCAGGCTAAAGAGTGCATTGGCATAATCTTGGCTCACTGCAACCTCCACCTTCCGAGCTCAAGGAATTATCCTACCTCAGTCTCCTGAGTAGCTGAAGCTACAGGACCATGTCACCATGCCTGACTAATTTTTTGTATATTAGTAGAGGAAACAGGATTTCACCATGTTGCCCAGACTAGTCTCAAACTCCTGAGCTCAGGCAATCCACCTACCTGGGATTTCCAAAGTGTCAGGATTACAGGCGTGATTTCTGTATTTTCAGTAGAAATGGGGTTTCACCATGTTGGCCAGGCTGGTCTCAAACTCCTGACCTCAAGTGATCTGCACTCCTCAGCCTCCCAAAGTGCTAGGATTACAGGCATAAACCACCACACCCAGCCTTAATTCACTCTTAAGCCTACATTTGCATGTACTTGAAGCCTTGTAGCTTGATGAAGAATTAATTTATAAGTATGTCCAAGGATTTTCAGAGCTAGTCATTCTAAAAGTATACAAACATCTGAAACTCTGTACAAGATTCAGGAATTTGAACACAAATGAGCTCATGTTTTCCACAGTATTCTAACATAAGCAAGTAAACTAAGTTGTTGCTTTACTTGTGTATTTCCCCATAGATTTATTGAGAGATGGGATCATCTTAGTGTCCTTTGACTCTAACGCCCTGCGTAAATAAGGCACTAAGCACTCAAGTTTAATTACTTAATTACTTGAAATTGGTCAAATTTGAAATCTTAGAAATAATGGAATAAAGAGGACACAATCCAGTAGAAATTGGCAGGAGATATATTTGACTTCCAATTTATCTTTTTTTTTTTTTTTTGAGACGGAGTTTTCGCTCTTGTTACCCAGGCTGGAGTGCAATGGCGCGATCTCGGCTCACCACAACCTCCGTCTCCTGGGTTCAAGCAATTCTCCT